CCAGCATTTATAATGGTGTTAAATATATATAAAAAAAGTGTTTTTAATTTATAAGGCGGGGGTTACACTCAGAGGCTTGCTATGTGAAAGGGGTCACCAGTACAAAAGTTTGAGAACCACTGGAATAAATAATATGTGACAAAGAGCCCCAAAACACATTATTTCCTGCATTAAATGCAAAGACAATTAGTCACTATTTTGTTCTCCCTAGGTAATGGGATTTGTTTTCTGCTGTCAAAATCCTATACATTTTCCAAGGAACAAAGACAGATGCAGAAATCAGCATCAGACTTTGTGCACCTATTGTTTTCCTATTACATCAATCAACCAATGCTTTGTGCCCCATTCATTAAATGGATGCTAAATATTACCTGTTGAAGAGTCTGAATCTGAATGTTAATTCACCTACCAGTACAAAAATTAAGATACATGAATAAAGGAAACTAAGCATCCGATTTACTGATGCAATGGAAAATTACCATTTTACTGCTATGTATTTAACATTTTCTTTGTTATTGCATGAAATTGATTGCTTTATCTAAAAGTCACTTGTTTAGCTCAGTCCAGTTCAGAAAAGCGTTGAATCTCATTGAAGCGAGTGGAACTGCTCATATGCTTAAAGTTGTGTATATGCTCAAGTGCTTTGGAACACTGATTGGTTTAAAGTATTAATGGTTGAATTTGAAAAATAAATTAATAAACACATTTTCTGATATTTAAAAACCCAGAAGTTTATAATCAAGCTATAGTACCACACAACTTAATCCTCACTAATGCCCTGTATGCTTCCCCATACAGGTTAACCACCCACAGGAAAACAGAAATAGCAAGAGTTTTAATTCAAAGCTTTTTTCTTCCTAATTTTTCCCTTTTGGAAAAGATAGGATTTGCCCATGCCTCCTATATAAGTCATTGGGGATCCAGCTTCCTACACTCATGGACCACCACACACTATATGGATGTTTGGAGGTCCTTAAGATGCAAAGGCCCTTTGCACATATGCCCTATTCATTCCAACAGTCCTACTGGTTTTGTGTAGCCTCCTGTAGCCCTGCTCCTACAGATGCTGCTCGGTGCCCTACAAACAATCACTCTAGTTAGGTTGTGTTCTTCTCCCCATACCTCAAAGAAAGGTTTGCTGAAAATATGTTATACATGGTAAAACCCAAACTTTTAAAATTAATTTATATGCTTATGTCTATGCTGCTTAGTGTGGAGACATATTTAGACAATATTAAAGTTTCTACACTTCTGCATGAAACAGAATTTGTTAGCTTATTTTTTTGTGTTCTTGGTAATAAACTACAGCAGCTGAGATCAAAACAGTCCCTGACAAAAAACAAACAAACAAACAAGACAATCTGTTGTTTTCTTATAGAGGTGCCCAAAAGCCTTTGACACCAAAACTTAGCGGTGCTCGTGTGACACAAGAACTGGTGAAGAAAAGGAGATTCTGTACAAGACCCATAATTTGAGACAGTACCATTCTTGTCAGGATGATTTTTTTTTTAAAGTCTTCAGCTTTCTTACCAAATTTGAGGGGGAGAAGGAAACCCCCACAAACAATACCACACACCTTCATTTTGAGTTACAAAAATTCAAAACTCCCCAAATGTAGCTTGATTATGACAACTTTTGGTGCCAAAGAACTACAGAACTGTTTAACAAACGAGACACACCATACACAAAATTTTCAAATGCAGTAGGTGCCTAAGGCTTAGGTAACCACATCCATATTTAGACACCTAAATAAAAGTGGCTTATCCCACAGATCGCTTTGACTTCAATTAAAGACTTTGGTGTTCAGCATCTCTAGAAATCAGAAAATTTTTAAGTGCTAACTTTAGGCATCCAAGTTTGACATTTTATCTGTATTAAATACTAATTACTTTGCCTATTTTCAAAACAAATGGAGATAGCGGAGAAGAATAATGGGCTGAGCAAGCAAACTTTGTCATTTTCACTGGGTGTCAGAGACCACTGATCTCAAGAATGCTTCTGGAGATTAAACCGATTGCAACACCATTGTAAATTTATGTGAATTACTACTGTTATCATTTTAGAGAGTCACACACAGCGATGTGGAACGTTTGTTCAGTGTATATCAAGTTACATCTGTATGTCTAATTAAAAAAACATATTTCATCTACATTTGTAACATATTAGTTGAACAGCAAATCACATTGCTCATTGTTAAATGAAAGAACTTTCATAATATATGAAACAGGATAGATTTCCTGGTATTTGAGCATTTAAAATCTCAAAACAATATAACAGCCTTTCACTGAGTTTTTCCAGTCAAAGAGAGTTCTAAGGGTATGTCTACACTACGAAATTAGGTCGAATTTATATAAGTAGGTTTTTTAGAAATCGTTTTTATATATTCGAGTGTGTGTGTCCCCACAGAAAATGCTCTAAGCGCATTAAGTGCATTAACTCGGCGGAGTGCTTCCACAGTACCGAGGCAAGTGTCGACTTCCAGAGTGTTGCACAGTGGGTAGCTATCCCACAGTTCCTGCAGTCTCTGCTGCCCATTGGAATTCTGGGTTGAGATCCCAATGCCTGATGGGGCTAAAACATTGTCGCGGGTGGTTCTGGGTACATATCATCAGGCCCCCGTTCCCTCCCTCCCTCTGTGAAAGCAGCAGCAGACAATCGTTTCGCACCTTTTTTCTTGAGTTACCTGTGCAGACGCCATACCACGGCAAGCCTGGAGCCCGCTCAGGTAACCGTCACCGTATGTCTCCTGGGTGCTGACAGATGTGGTACTGCATTGCTACACAGCAGCAACCGCTTGCCTTCTGGCAGCAGACGGTGCAGTAGGACTGGTAGCCGTCATCATCATGTCCAAGGTGCTCCTGGCCACGTCGGCCAGGAGCGCCTGGACAGACATGGGTGCAGGGACTACATTAGAAGTGACCTGACCAGGTCATTCTCTTTAGTCCTGCAGTCAGTCCTATTGAACCATCTTATGGTGAGCAGGCAGGCGACACGGATTGCTAGCAGTCCTACTGTTGAACCATCTTCTGCCAGGCAGGCAAGAGATGAGGATGGCTAGCAGTCCTACTGCACCATCTTCTGCTGAGCAGCCAAGAGATGTGGATGGCTTGCAGTCCTTCTGCACCATCTGCTGCCAGCCAAAGATGTAAAAGACAGATGGAGTGGATCAAAACAAGAAATAGACCAGATTTGTTTTGTACTCATTTGCTTCCCCCACCTCCCCTGTCTAGGGGACTCATTCCTCTAGGTCACACTGCAGTCACTCACAGAGAAGGTGCAGCGAGGTAAATCTAGCCATGTATCAATCAGAGGCCAGACCAACCTGCTTGTTCCAATAAGAACAATTACTTAGGTGCACCATTTCTTATTGGAACCCTCCGTGAAGTCCTGCCTGAAATACTCCTTGATGTAAAGCTACCCCCTTTGTTGATTTTAATTCTCTGTAAACCAACCCTGTAAGCCATGTCGTCAGTCGCCCCTCCCTCCGTCAGAGCAACGGCAGACAATCGTTCCGCACCTTTTTTCTGTGCAGACGCCATACCAAGGCAAGCATGGAGGCCGCTCAGCTCACTTTGGCAATTAGGAGCACATTAAACACCACACACATTATCCAGCAGTATATGCAGCACCAGAACCTGGCAGAGGGATACCGGGTGAGGAGGCGACATCAGCGCGGTCACGTGAGTGATCAGGACATGGACACAGATTTCTCTCAAAGCATGGGCCCTGCCAATGCATGCATCGTGGTGCTAATGGGGCAGGTTCATGCGGTGGAATGCCGATTCTGGGCTCGGGAAACAAGCACAGACTGGTGGGACCGCATAATGTTGCAGGTCTGGGACGATTCCCAATGGCTGCGAAACTTTTGCATGTGTAAGGGCACTTTCATGGAACTTTGTGACTTGCTTTCCCCTGCCCTGAAGCGCATGAATACCAAGATGAGAGCAGCCCTCACAGTTCACAAGTGAGTGGTGATAGCCCTCTGGAAGCTTGCAACGCCAGACAGCGTTGTCAGTAGGGAATCAATTTGGAGTGGGCAAATCTACCGTGGGGGCTGCTGTGATACAAGTAGCCCACACAATCAAAGATCTGCTGATATCAAGGGTAGTGACCCTGGGAAATGTGCAGGTCATAGTGGATGGCTTTGCTGCAATGGGATTCCCTAACTGTGGTGGGGCCATAGACGGAACCCGTATCCGTATCTTGGCACCGGAGCACCAAGCCGGAGAGAACATAAACCGCAAGGGGTATTTTTCAATAGTGCTGCAAGCACTGGTGGATCACAAGGGACGTTTCACCAACATCAACATGGGATGGCCGGGAAAGGTACATGACGCTCGCATCTTCAGGAACTCTGGTCTGTTTGAAAAGCTGCAGGAAGGGACTTTATTCCCAGACCAGAAAATAACTGTTGGGGATGTTGAAATGCCTATTGTTATCCTTGGGGACCCAGCCTACCCCTTAATGGCATGGCTCATGAAGCCATACACAGGCAGCCTGGACAGTAGTCAGGAGCTGTTCAACTACAGGCTGAGCAAGTGCAGAATGGTGGTAGAATGTGCATTTGGACGTTTAAAGGCGCGCTGGCGCAGTTTACTGACTCGCTTAGACCTCAGCGAAACCAATATTCCCACTGTTATTACTGCTTGCTGTGCGCTCAACAATATCTGTGAGAGTAAGGGGGAGACATTTATGGCGGGGTGGGAGGTTGAGGCAAATCGCCTGGCTGCTGGTTACGTACAGCCAGACACCAGGGTGCTTAGAAGAGCACAGGAGGGCGCGGTACGCATCACAGAAGCTTTGAAAACCAGTTTCATGACTGGACAGGCTACGGTGTGAAAGTTCTGTTTGTTTCTCCTTGATGAAACCCCCCGCCCCTTGGTTCACTCTATTTCCCTGTAAGCTAACCACCCACCCCTCCTCCCTTCGATCACCGCTTGCAGAGGCAATAAAGTCATTGTTGCTTCACATTCATGCATTCTTTATTCATTCATCACACAAATAGGGGGATGACTACCAAGGTAGCCCAGGAGGGGTGGTGGAGGAGGGAAGGAAAATGCCACACAGCACTTTAAAAGTTTACAACTTTAAAATTTATTGAATGCCAGCCTTCTGTTTTTTGGGCAATCCTCTGTGGTGGAGTGGCTGGGTGGCCGGAGGCTATGGAACTTGGGGAGGAGGGCGGTTGTTACACAGGGGCTGTAGTGGCAGTCTATGCTCCAGCTGCCTTTGCTGCAGCTCAACCATACACTGGAGAATACTGGTTTGATCCTCCAGCAGCCTCAGCATTGAATCCTGCCTTCTCTCATCACGCTGCCGCCACATTTGAGCTTCAGCTCTGTCTTCAGCCCGCCACTTACTCTCTTTAGCCCGCCACCTCTCCTCCCGGTCATTTTGTGCTTTCCTGCACTCTGACATTATTTGCCTCCACACATTCGTCTGTGCTCTGTCAGTGTGGGAGGACAGCACGAGCTCAGAGAACATTTCATCACGAGTGCGTTTTTTTTTCTTTCTAATCTTCACTAGCCTCTGGGAAGGAGAAGATCCTGTGATCATTGAAACACATGCAGCTGGTGGAGAAAAAAAAGGGACAGCGGTATTTAAAAAGACACATTTTATAAAACAGTGGCTACACTCTTTCAGGGTAAACCTTACTGTTAACATTACATACATAGCACATGTGCTTTCGTTACAAAGTTGCATTTTGCCTCCCCCCACCGCGTGGCTACCCCCTCAACCCTTCCCCCTCCCCGTGACTAACAGCAGGGAACATTTCTGTTCAGCCACAGGCGAGCAGCCCAGCAGGAACGGGCACCTCTGAGTGTCCCCTGAAGAAAAGCACCCTATTTCAACCAGGTGACCATGAATGATATCTCACTCTCCTGAGGATAACACAGAGAGAGAAAGAACGGATGTTGTTTGAATGCCAGCAAACATACACTGCAATGCTTTGTTGTACAATGATTCCCGAGTACGTATTACTGGCCTGGAGTGGTAAAGTGTCCTACCATGGAGGACGCAATAAGGCTGCCCTCCCCAGAAACCTTTTGCAAAGGTTTTGGGAGTACATCCAGGAGAGCCGTGAATACCAGGGCAAATTAATCCTTTCACATGCTTGCTTTTAAACCATGTATAGTATTGTAAAAGGTACACTCACCGGAGGTCCCTTCTCTGCCTGCTGGCTCCAGGAGGCAGGCTTGGGTGGGTTCGGGGGGTACTGGCTCCAGGTCCAGGGTGAGAAACGGTTCCTGGCTGTCGGGAAAACCGGTTTCTCCGCTTGCTTGCTGTGAGCTATCTACAACGTCATCATCATCATCTTCTTCGTCCCCAAAACCTGCTTCCGTGTTGCCTCCATCTCCATTGAAGGAGTCAAACAACACAGCTGGGGTAGTGGTGGCTGAACCCCCTAAAATGGCATGCAGCTCATCATAGAAGCGGCATGTTTGGGGCTCTGACCCGGAGCGGCCGTTCACCTCTCTGGTTTTCTGGTAGGCTTGCCTCAGCTCCTTAAGTTTCATGCGGCACTGCTTCGGGTCCCTGTTATGGCCTCTGTCCTTCATGCCCTGGGAGATTTTGACAAAGGTTTTGGCATTTCAAAAACTGGAATGGAGTTCTGATAGCACGGATTCCTCTCCCCATACAGCGATCAGATCCCGTACCTCCCGTTCAGTCCATGCTGGAGCTCTTTTGCGATTCTGGGACTCCATCATGGTCACCTCTGCTGATGAGTTCTGCATGGTCACCTGCAGCTTGCCACGCTGGCCAAACAGGAAATGAGATTCAAAAGTTCGCGGTTCTTTTCCTGTCTACCTGGCCAGTGCATCTGAGTTGAGAGTGCTGTCCAGAGCGGTTACAATGGAGCACTCTGGGATAGCTCCCGGAGGCCAATACCGTCGAATAGTGTCCACAGTAACCCAAATTCGACCCGGCGAGGCCGATTTAAGCGCTAATCCACTTGTCAGGGGTGGAGTAAGGAAATCGATTTTAAGAGTCCTTTAAGTCGAAAAAAAGGGCTTCATCGTGTGGACGGGTGCAGGTTTACATCTATTTAAAGCTGCTAAATTCGACCTAAAGTCCTAGTGTAGACCAGGGCTAAGAATATAAGAAGTTCCATGCTCCTAAAATTGACAATTGGGAATAGTGGCCAGGAGATAGAATAGAGGCAAGAGAATGAGAGCCAAGTAGCCAGGGGAAGAATGGAGATGCATAATAGTAGCTTCCTCATGAAGATTGTGTTAAGATCTTAAAACAGAATTACAATATCTACATTTCATACTTAAACATTTAGTCTCCAAATTTAGCATGCTACTCTTCACAGGTCAATCAACTGAATCTGCCCTAGAATATTCTCAGTCTGAGATTTCCTGAGATTCTAATGACGGTTTGGGTTTTTGAGGTTCCCACAGATAGACAATCATACTCACCACAAATTCTGAACTTCACACACAGACACACTCTCATAAATGCTCAGGGACAGAAAACTTAAAATATTATTTTCCAAATTTATCATACCCTAATTCATTGCTGGAAAGGTCAGGAACTATCCAGTTTGGCCAGCTACTTATGCTTTCCAACACTGCCCACTGTCCCTCCCGATCTCCCAGATCAATTCCTCACATACAGCCCCATCTCTGGAGACCCATTTAAGCAGGTTGGACAGCAGAAAGTATGGGGGTAAACTGAAGAGGACCTAGACGTGAGCAAGACTTTGGGAAGGTAAAAAGGGTTTCCTCAGGAAACTGCAGTGCTGAAGAGTTAAGCAGGCAGTAAGGTAGGGGCTCAGAGTGTAAATGGAAGTGGTACAGGGCAGAGTATTTGGGATGAGCACAATATCGATATTTCTGTGTCAGACATTAGCGCATTCAAATTTGGCTCACCATGATGATGATCTTGCAAACAGGAACAATATGGGAGAACTGAAGGACTGAGCAAGGGCTGTAGGGATCAGGGGTGTAAGTGGCCATGATGGTTACAGTCAGGAAATGAATAGAGTAATGAAGTTGCATTAGGGTTTGAGTAGGGCTATGGGGGACCAGAAAGAAAAGCAGACTCTGTGAAAGGAGAATCTGCAGTGTCTGGGGAAGCAGAGCTGGGTGAGGTATCTTGTGTGGTGGTACGGAGTTGAGGGTATGCACCAAGGCACTGGCTCATAGAGACTTGGCCACCTATGGCACTGCTGCCTCAGCATCTCCACTACACCAAATATGGGCACCATGGGGAGCCTCTGGAGCATGGAGGCAATGGTATACAGAAATTCAGTTCTCCTCAACTGGAGGCCCTTGGCCCAAATCACCCTCGCTGCAAGTCCCTCCATAAAGTCCACTTCTCTTTCAGCTCTCAGTGCCAATGCAGACACCCAATTACTCTGTCACACTCAGATGCAAACCTTAACTCCAACTTCATATTTAAAAAACACAATAAATGCTTTACAAGTACATGCATATGTAGAGAGAACATATCAAACTATCTGAGATCAGATATCAAGTTTGCATTTGAATATGATTTAGAGGAAATGAACATGTGAACTGAAGTTGGTTATATGTTGAAAGTGAAAGAAAGTTTGTTGGAAGGGAGGACTTTGCAGATACCTTTGGGTTAAAGTATATGAATTAATGTTACTTCATGAGAGTGTCGACAGAAAATGCACACGAGAAACCTTAATAGTTTTTTTCTGTGGTTTCACTCTGCAATCAGATCTTTAATATGCAGCCACTGTGTGATGGGGTCTAACAGACCTTCTCCACCTCCTGCTGAGGGCATCAGCACCCTGATGCTCCCCAACCAAGGAAAAGCCACTCAGACCGGGCAACCAAGACAACAGTCCTCCAGAAGCCAAGAAGGCCAGGAGGAAATACTGACCAACCAAGAACCAGCAGGCTAGTGAAGAAGCTTGCCTGCAGTTGCTCAGGGCAGAGTTAGGTGAGAATGGGACAGAGAAGGAACTCCTCAGAGCTAACCCAGAACCCAGGCCAGGACCTTGCTTTAACTTTTGGAACTTACTAGCTTGCATTTTGAAGGTTTTTTTCTCTCCCTCTTTGTTTAAAAGCACAGACAGCTATTTTGTTACTTGATTGTTTAGAAACTGATGCCAAGTTATGACAGAGAATGCCCTGCCCCAAGCAAGCAGCCAAACCTTTCAGAGTATGGCGGGGAGCACCTGCAGTACCACTTGTGGAGCAGCCCTGCCTCTTACATACTGGATTTGATCCACATATTATCACTAGCTCACATTTAATGAAGTAAATACTAATTAAGAATTTAAAAGATATTCATTATCTAAGCATTCAAAATATGACTTGTAAGTATGGTAAAAGCGACTAAATCAGTGTTTCTGTAGAGTTTGATGTTCTTTTGGCAAGCCTATTGTTAAATGAGGAATAAAAAAAGAGTAGGAACTTCAGACACTTTAAAATGGTGTATATTAGAAAAAAAACAAATACAACTACAAATGTTAAATTTTAGCATCAGAATAATAGTGAGCAGACTACTGAAGTAGAAAATAAAACAGCTTGTATATAAGCAAACCAAAGAAATTACACACTTTTAGGAAAACAAACCTGTAATATGTCATATTTTTGTTTAATTTACTATTTTTGAACTTTCTTTGATTAAAAGCAGATAATTTATAGGAGTAGCTATTTTTTCATCCAAAGGATATGAAGGACTGGGATGGATTGGTAAAGCCTGATTAAACTAGCTTAACATTTTTTGTAAACAAAGGAATTGGAGAACAGATTAAAAAGGTAAAAAGTATGATCCACATTTAATAGACTTATTGCAATTATTTTTGAAAAGTATCATATGTGACAAAGTTCCTCCTCTACCTTGGTGAGTCCTGTGCTTATTGGCGGATTTTCTTGCCTCAGAGGTTCACGGCAGCCCTCAGTTTGGCCACTCAAATCTGCCGTTCACTTAGTTAGCCTCATCACTGGCCAGCACGGGGACAGGAAGAACAATCCCCGCAGTCTCTGCTGATCAGGAACAGGCCAGAGACCTTCCCCTCTGGTTGAACCCACAGTCCAGTTCAACTCCTCCGATACCAAGTAGGGAGTTGGGGGGATGGAGGAATGGGGGGAACCGGGGCCCGCCTTCTACTCCAGGTTCCAGCTCAGGGCCCTGTGGATTGCAACTGCCTACAGTGGCTCCTGTAACAGCTGCGTGACAGCTACAACTCCCTGGGCTACTTCCCCATGGCCTCCTCCCAACACCTTCTTTATTCTCACTGCAGGACCTCCCTCCTGATGTCTGATAATGCTTGTACTTCTCAGTCTTCCAGTAGTACGCCTCTCACTCTCAGCTTCCTGTGCCTCTTGCTCCCAGCTCCTCACACACACCACAAACTGAAGTGAGCTCCTTTTTAAACCCAGGTGCCCTGATTAGCCTGCCTTAATTGATTCTAGCAGCTTCTTGATTGGCTGCAGGTGTTCTAATCAGCCTGTTTGCCTTAATTGTTCCCAGAAAGTTCCTCATTGTTCTGGAACCTTCCCTGTTACCTTACCCAGGGAAAAGGGCCTACTTAACCTGGGGCTAATATATCTGCCTTCGATCACTCTCCTGTATGACCCTTTGACCACACTCCTGTCCCTGTAATTTCATTAGTTGTCCCCCGTACTCATTTGGTGTCCAGGTCCTGTGGATCCCCCTCTTAGGCTGGGGAGGGATCCTTTAGCAGTGGGTGGGCTTCGCCCATCCACTTCCTGGATCCCAATAGGATCACTTTCCTTTAGCCATCTGGCCCGACCCTATCACACATATTTGAAATCTAGGGGAAGGGTCGGGGGGAAAGGGCAGGAAAAGTGGGGAACAGAACTGAGTAAGAAGCCACGATGATCTGGGATAAACAACACCTCCCTGCATTAGATACTAAAATATACTAGGAAACATAATATCTGGTTTTAATATTTTTTGAAATATTTTAATTTTGACAACATTTTAAGGAGCATATTTTTAATGCGGAAAGATTGAAGCAACATTGTTATAAAATTCAAATATAATGAATGACTTTATTATTGATGCTTTTGTTAGCTCACCTTTCTGAAGTTTCTTTGATTAAACAATAATTCATATTTTAAAAAAGCTATTTATTGAGCATTTTCAAACTAATATTTCTAAAAGCAGGCTGAAGTTTCTTTAGAGATTTTTTATAGTTTAACATACGGGAGACAGGAACACTGTATCAGGATACCCAAGGAAATGTTGTCTGAAAAACTCACAAATTTGAATACAGCCCGAGCAGTAAAGGCTTGATCCTGAATCATTCAAGTCAATGGGAATTTTGCCAGTTGCTTCAATGGGAGCAGGATCAAGCCACAATACAGCTGCACCTACCTTCCCTAGAGATGGTGAACAAAGACTCCAACCCCCAAAAGAATGTTTCATTTCAATTCCCATTCCTCCAGCATTTCTCTCAAACCACACTCACCCACTTCATGGATAATAGGGGAAAAGAAGTCCATTACAATATTTTGCAATACATTCTGATAATCAGTGCAACAGTGTATGAAAGCAAAATTGATAAACCATTATTTCACAAATAAATCATTATATATGAAATATCTGAAAGTTTTATAAATCTTTTAAAGCTTGTTATAGCTTGCCTTTATTTTCCAGACAAAGAAGTAGTCCATCTATATTAAATTTTGCAAGGTTCTAATGCAGTTTCATTATTTTCTGTTTTCTTTTCTTTTTTTCACTCCTATACAGTAGGATCAATTACTATAGTTCCTATCAAAATCACATTTCACTCAGGGTGCACTTAGTAAATAAAAACAAGAGTCCCAATCGAATATCCTAGATTAAATTATCCTGGTGGTTTGAAATATGCTGGTTTGGGGTTCCCAAAGGGCAGAGGCAGCTTGCATCAAAAACATAGGAAACACATTGGCAGAACTGCTACTCAGCTGAGAAAGCAGTGAATTTTCTCTCTCCGCTCTCTCGCCCTGCCTCCTTCCATGCTTAGTGACTGAGGGCTTTCCATGTCAAAATGAAGGTCATTGCCAAGGCAACCTGGTACAGCTGTACATTACCTGACATATGGATAAATGAGGAATTTTACTCCCAGTGTCAGTAGTGACGGAGTGATGTCCTGGGCCCTAATTAAGATTTAAATATGAGCTCTCATTAGTAAAGTCTACTTAGAAACTAAGGGCTTGTCTACGCTTTTTGGTAATTTACCAAAAAAGCTGTTCTAGAAAAAGAGGGTCTACACAGAGGTTTGGCATGAATAGAGGCACATGTTCTGCAACCAGCTATCGTCTTTCTCACAGTTTTTGGCAGCCAGGGAGCCACTGCCTTATATGATTATTGCTCACCTGAATTTGAAAATGATTTGGGAGTTTGTAAGTGGGTTTCAGAGTAACAGCCGTGTTAGTCTGTATTCGCAAAAAGAAAAGGAGTACTTGTGGCACCTTAGAGACTAACCAATTTATTTGAGCATAAGCTTTCGTGAGCTACAGCTCACTGCATCCGATGAAGTGAGCTGTAGCTCACGAAAGCTTATGCTCAAATAAATTGGTTAGTCTCTAAGGTGCCACAAGTACTCCTTTTCTTTTTGTAAGTGGGTTGATGATCATCAGGGAAAAGACGGATTTGGGGCAGATCCAGGAGCTTTTCTCAGGGGTGATTATAAATTGTTCTGAAATGCTGCAACAGAGGATGTGGCAGGGAACCACCAGGGCTACATGGGTTGACAATGAGAGAAGGCACATGAATCAGGAGATGCCTAAATTTGTACGTGAACAAATTATCCATCCAAAATCAACCATCAGAAAATATTGCATAGGGTACCCAGGTCATTTATGGACAATGGGATAAATTGGGATAAACCTAACGAAGCATGGGACAGACAAATTTTTGGCCGAAGTTCATGAGCGAATTTTTAACTTTCTGGGAACACAACTAGGAATGGAGGGAATGGAGCCAGGCCAGTTGCTGGTGTCTTGTGGCAGGTGTCCAGTGAAGGTACTCATTCCATAAAGGGGTACAGTTTCCTGATAAACAAGCGTTAGAAGTGAACTTGGGGGAAGATACCCCCTAAGGAAGCTGAAGAAGTGGGGCTGGGACACCTATGTTTGGTACACCAGGGAGACAACCCCCTTTCTAGAGCTTCCTTCCCACTCCACTTCCTCCTCTTGTATGAGGGCTAAGGGGTGCTGTCCACTCCAAACACATACAAACAATTAAGGAAATAATGGATCTACACCCTCTGATTTATTGCCAGGTATTTCACAGATGACTTAATAAAGCCATAGCCAAATGAAGCCATATCCCTGGTATGGCCAGGACAACAAAAAATCCAGTATACCTATTCTAGTAACTTTTCAGGAGTAGACAAGTCCTAAGACCCATTTAAATTGATTGGATCAACTCTTAAAACACAGTGGACAATGAAATCCCCCTTCAACAAGAAAAAAAATCCTTGTAATTTTGCCTTCACATCAGGTGTTTTACTCTGGACTGCTGACTGCGAATACAGAGTATCATTCTTATTTCCAGTGTCCAACTGATAAACTCAGACTGCTAAGAAATTACAATAGAGCTGAGAGGGCACAGTGAGTGGGTTCCTACAGGGATCTGTCCTGGGTCTGGTTCTATTTAGTATCTTCATAAATTATTTGGACAATGGCATAGAGAGTACACTCAAAGTCTGCGGATGATACCAAGCTGGGAGGCATTACAAGCAATTTGGAGGACAGGATTAGAATTCAAAATGATCTTGGCAAACTGGAGAAATGG